AAATCCATTTTTTTTTTTTAAATCTTGGAAACTGTGGGAGACAGGCTTGAACCTAGGGTGAAAGTCTTACTGACAGCCATACAGCAGGCCTGAGGCAACGGCCTGATCACTGGAGCCACAAGGAACGCCTTGTCACATTTTGCTCCCATTGGCAGATCATGAGACTGATGCCTAGAGCTCGCCACTTCCTAATAACCACCCTTGGAATCAAGGTATCCTACTTGCTGTACTGTGATAGGATGCTAAACCTGTTATGCTAATAAGGTATCCTACTTGCTGTGCTGTGACTGGACCACTACCCCTATATAAGCTTGTGCCTTCCTGCAATAAAGCAGATCTGTGTCACTGAACCTGGTCTCCTGCATCTGAATGTGGCAACGCTGGTGCAGATTCCTCACCAGCCCTGGGGTCCCAACTGATCAGAACTGAGAGAGCAGGAGAGCGACCACAGTTGAAGGAGAGCAGCCACAGCCAGCAACCACAGGAAACACCATATGGAAACAAAATTAAATCATACATCTAAAAGTCCAAAGTTTCCTAATGTTCTAATTTCCCATTAAACATATATATGCCTATGTATAAGCCAACTACAATTAGGTAGAACTAGACCCAGTTATAAGTATGACAGCATCACATACACATCTTTCATCACTATATACTTAGGTTGCAAATACACTGTACAGAGATTTATGCTGTAAGAGAAAAACTAAATTCATAAATAAAATCAATTTTTTTAGCACATATTCATCCTTACATTGGCTCATAACCCTCAACTAATTAAATTTTAGTCTGTTAGGTACTTACTCTCATTTCTCTTGTGAAAAAAGATCAGTGTTCAAGCACACAGATGAGATTTAAAAGGAAGATTCAAACCATAGGTTTGCTTTATAAGATCCTAGAATGCTGGATTTAAAAAGGTTTAAGTAGTAACTCAGCAATTCTCAATGGGGTAATTTTAAAAAGATTTTTCTTTTATTTACATGTATGTGTATGCTTGTGTGTCTGCCTTATGTGAGGTGTGCCCATGGAGGCCAAAGAGTGTTGGATCCAATGGAGGAAAAGTTACAGGTGGCTGTGAGCTGCTCAGTATGGGCTAGAGTCTGAACTTGCGTCTGCTGGGAGAAGAGCAAGTGCTCTTGACCACTGAGCCATCTCTCTACCCCACCATCAACCAAAAGTTGCTAAGTCATGATCTAATAGCTACAGTGCATAATTAGGTGATGGTAGTAAGCTTGTAGTCTGTTTAGTTTTGCTTTTAAGACAGGTTTCATTACATGGCCCTGGTTGTCCTGTAACTCACTATGTAGCCCGGGCTGACGTTGAACTCAAAGATATGCCTGCCAGTTTCTGGGATTAAAGGCAAAGTGTCTGAAGACTTCTTTGAGTTTTATAGCTGGTGTTATTGCTACTAGCATCTATTGAGGGGTACAGAGCATAGGTACTTTTAAACATCCTCAGTGCACTCAACAAAGAAGTTATCTGGTCTAAAGTGTTCCATCAAATTTTATAGCTTTATAGTTTGGCTGATGATGGACAACATGGGTTTATTTTCCAACAAAATTCTGGACAATTCCAGATTCTTGCCTTGTATAATCACTGCCTCCCCCACCCACACTTCAAGGTGGGTGAACCCTGGAATTACTTTTTAACAAAAGAATACTGCAAAGCTAGCCATGCATAGTAGCATACAACTTTAAGCCGAGCACTTGGGAGGCAGAGTCAGATAGCTCTCTGAGTTGGAGGCCAGTTTGGTCTATATAGTCAGTTCCAGGTCAATCAGGGCTGCACAGTGAGACCCTCTTTCAAGACTCAAACAAACCAACCAAAATAATAACAAACAAACCAAAAAGAATACGGCAAAGCTGTCGGCATTCAAGTCGCTGCCATATTATGAGCTGCCTGACAGAGGTCACAATGCAAAGAACTAAGGGAGATCTTTAGTCAACAGTTGGTAAAACTGTCTTTAGTCCCACATTCTGTAAGGATGTAAATGCCACAATAATTAGTTCTGGCTGCCTTCAAACACAGCTTTCAGGTGAGATTCTGAAGCAGACAATTAGGCAAAATCATATGACTCCTGACCCACACAGAAACAGAGAAGATACATATATACATACTACTTTAAGTTACTGATTTTTGGTGATATCTTATAGTACTAGATAACCAATACAACAAACTGCACTATTCTTCAGAAATACAACATTAGAGGATACTTCTAAAATGTAAATAGAATCATATCATTCACTAGCTTAATAATCTCTCAATGGTCTCTCATAGCCTAAAATTAAAATACTAAACAATGCAGTAACGTATACTCTCTGGTCCCCTATCTAGTCATAGTTATTAATATGGTCCATCTACTTCACCCCTTCTCTCTCCCTTCAAGCTCCAGCCACATGCAGCTAATTATAAAGTTCTTAAGGCTGAAGATGTGGCTTAGAGGTAGAGCATACTCAAGATCCTGGGTTCAATCTCTTGCACTTCCCAAAAAGTGTGTCTGTGGGGGTCTAATTGACCTACCCCATCCATCTCACCATGAGCTGCTCCTTTTATCTGAAGCATCTCATCCCTGCCCACCCTCCTCTCTTCTCTACACAATTAGTGTGGGTATGCCTTTTTAACTACAGCCAGCAGAGGTGTGTGGTCTTTTCCTGACTGTGGCACACACCAGGCCACACTGTAGCAAGGCCTACCTACATTCTACTTGCATGCTTGTTGCCTTTCCTGCTGACTTTAAGACCACCAAAGTTCCTTAAAGGGAAGAACTGAATTTCAATTCTCTGAATTAACTTTTCTAGAATTCTGGCAAAGATAAAGTGCTCAATACACTTTTACGAGTGATTTTTCTACATTACCAAGAATCAAACTACACCATTAATTATACCATCAATCTCTAAAATCTTCTAAATCTTGGCATATGTCTATCTGGTTTACTTTTCAATATCTTACTAACTTGTCATATAATACAAAAGAAATCATCTGCTATTTAATATATTTCAAAGATTTAAAAAATTAATGTAAAAAGAACTTTTTGGTACTGAACTTAGGACCTTGTACATGGCTATACAAGTACTCTACTTCAGAACTATATCCAGGCTTAAAAATACAGAAAAAATTTAAAATGATTGTACCGTATATTTAAATCCACAAGTTTGACAATTTATATCAACCCAAATCAGAGACCACTGTAAGTTTAAAATAATTCACATTATAATAAGAACATGAGCATAAAAAAAAGAACGTGAATTTCATAACCAGGTGGTAGTGGTACACATCTGTAATCTCAGCACATGGGTGTCTAAGGCAGGAGTACTGAGTTCAAGATCAGTTTATGGTATGAGTTTTAAGAAATTTACTGCCCAACCCTAAGTGACACATCTACAATGGAACCTCTACACCCAAAACTCATGGAACATAGTAGAACAAGGGGTGGAGAGAATACTAATGCATCTCTCAACTGTCATCAACGAAGCTCCCTCATGCAACAGAGCTCAATGAACCCAGGGCTCAGGGACCATTGTGGAAGAGGGGGCAGAAAGATTGTAAGACCCTAGGGAGGAGATACATGATCATATAGAAATAAAGTCTTACAGACTCCTGGGACCTTGCTCATAAGAACTTATAGCAATGGTGACAGCATGCACAAGACCTATGCAAACTTAAACAGACAAAAACCTAGCACAGAACTGTGGAAATGGACAGCAAGCCCCAATCTTAGATGAAGAACTACTGGGCAGCTGATTACTACCAGCTGAAGAAGAGTTGATCTTCTTTAATGGAGTGACTCTAAGACTCTAAATAGGCTGACTAGACACACCAGTGGTTGAACTTGCACTGAGGGATGTCAGGGGACACTAACTTGATTCAATAGGATTTAACATAAATGACAGAAGGCATGAAATCCAGTGGGGAGGGTACGAGAGAGCGCTGAAGGGAAAGGGGTCAAAAAGGACTAAGATGTTATGTATGAAATAAACAAAAATCTAATAAAAATATACATTTAAAAATGCATTTACATACTCAAGGTGTACTTTATCAACACTTTGATTAGAAAGCCTTTAAAATTAATTAACTTGAAAAAAATTGCTTTTCTTTCATGTTTGAATATTTATCCACATTTATTAAAGTTTTCCTTTAGAGAAATAAAAATTATTGTTTTGATTACTAAAATCAAAGAGTAATAAAAAAAATTTTTGAGACAAAGTCTTGCTGTATAGTTCAAGCTAGCCCTGAATTCTCCATCCTTCTGTCTACAACTCCCAAGTGTTAGTACCACAAGTATGTGCCCAGCAAAAGTATTTTTTAAAAGTTGAGTCTTTAAAGCTATGTACATGATATCTATACTACTTTAATTTTTAAAAACCAAATTTAGGTGCTGGAGAGCTGGCTCAGAGTTTAAGAGTACTTGCTGCTCTTGTGGAAAACCTGGGTTCCATTCCCAACACCCACATAGCAGCTAACAACCATCCATAACTCCAGTTTCAGGGGATCTGACGCCCTCTTCCTGAGCAGAACAGAAGAGAGAATCAGATTACCTGGAATTGGAGTGACAGATTGTTTGCAACCTTATGAATCCAGGTCCTCTGTAAGAGCAGCCAGTGATCTTAAACACTCAGCCATTTTTCCAGGCCACTAAAATGAAAGATTTAAAAACCAAAGGACAAAGCTACAAAATAGTCTGTGCTAAACTTCCTTTTAAACTACAAATTTCTAATGTATTAATTATAGCACAGGGACAAAAATCTTTAGTCCTCATAAAATTAAGAGCATAGAAAATACTTTATTTGGCATTATTTCTTCAAAAGCAAATGTTTCCTATCCAGAAAAGCACCAAAATGAAAAGCATGATTTTAGAACTATCCAAGTTTTATAAACTGATATTCACTAAAAGATTAGTGTTTAATAAACAAAGTAAAAAGAACTTGTACTGTAGTTGGCTGAGGCAGCCCCAGTGCTTCAGTTTCAAATATCTTCAGTACAATTCTCTCGTCTAACACCCTGCATTTCACCCTGGAAAAGGAATGTTGGCAAAGATCTCCACCGCATGGAATCTGCTCTTAGCTGTTGGGCCCCGAAACTTTATTCAGCAGTTTGAAACTATTCCACAGCTTCGCTCATTCACCCTCCCACTTGGGGCTAATGCACAGGCATGAACACCTACTGAGGAAAACCACAAAAAACTTCAAAACAGCTACAACGGTAGGCTTATTTTTCACATATTATGTTAAATATTGCTTGTTAAAGTGTGATTTGAAAAGTTTTATTAATGTAAAGTCATCTGTAGTGTGCTTGTTTTATTTAAACTGAACAATTAATTTTAGCAATACTTTCATGTATCATTGCATAACTTTAATACTGATGCAGATAAGAACTGGAAGACAAAAAGTTACAAAGCCATTTTATTTTGAAACATCTATCACTGGATTTTTGACAAACTGACATCTACAATGCAGCATCAGCAACTCTAAGTGATTCTGTTTGAAGTGGAAAAATGTCTGAAATGTATTCACCAGATAAAACTCACTGATGAGCCTAAAAGAATCTTTCTAGTGCATTCTCCAAAGTTCCTTGATTAAAGTCCTATTCCCTTAGTTTACAATAGTATTGTTGCAGTTTTTGTAGTTTAAGCTAGAAAATCAAGATTATAATTAAAAAGTGATAACCTATTAAATTTATTAATCTAAGGAAATTAAGGACACCTGGGTTTTTCCTGTATGTACCACCACATTAATGTCTACTTTTTATTATGTTCAACTTAAAGTTTTAAAGGTTTTTTAAGAACTTCTTTCACATCAAAACGATTTAAGACTTCTTTTAAAGCAGCAAAATTGAAATACGATATGAAACAGGATCATGAGTCTTTGTGTTAACCATTCGTACTGCAGGTATTCTAGGAAGACTTCAACTGCATACAAGTAGCTCTACTTGAGGTATTCAATTATTAATAAACTTAAGTTTGCAACATTTTGTGAGTTTTGAATAGATAAATAAAACTACTTTCTGAAATTATTTTTCAGAATGTTCATTAAATGCATTAAAAAAAACTGTTAGTATCCAATTAAAGATCACTAAGGGTTAAATACTTGTTCTCTACCCCCTACATACACCCTGCCAAAATATCCTTTAAGTTTTTAAATATTGCTTCGATGGTCTGAATTCTTATTTCCAGGGAAAAAAGACTTTTGCTCCAGTCAGCAGGTCAGTAGTTTATTAACTTCCAGTCACCTTGAGTTTTGCTGAAATGAAGACTGCACATTCTACACTTCTGCTGTTACTATTGGTGCCTCTGACAGAGCCAGCACCACAAACTCAGCTGGACTCATACATGAGCTATGAGTATGGAACAGATAATTTTGAAAAAACAAAGTTTAGTCAAGACTACGAAGATAAATACCTGGATGAGAAAAATATTAAGGTATGTATTTCTATTCTAAATTTATGTTATAAAATTGTACCCATTTAAATGCATTTGTTTTTTTCTGAGTTTCAATATCTGATAAGGTATTATTCAACTGTGAACCTAAAAATGTACAGCCATTTTTGAAAGAGATGTATCCTTGCTCTGAAAATTGTTACTGACTGAATATGTTAAAGCTGTAATGAAATGCTTCTTCTAATCATGTGGTTATTAAATTTTAAAAAATTTTAAGATTTAAAATAATTAGTCTTTTCAAATATGCATGACTCCTATATTAATAAATAGCACCTATGACAACCCAACAGCTATAGTAATCAAAAATAGTAATAAAATTTAAGAGACTCTGGACTTCAAGATGTGAACAGCTGCAATTTATATGTTTAGTAATAATATACAATATCTTGTATTTGCATGTTGCATTGTCTTAAGAATAAATTAGGATAAATAAAGATGAATTATCAGTCTATTATTTCAGAAAAACATGGTACAAGGAAATAAATAGAAGAATACTGGTTATGCATGCCAATTATACAAAGTACCAAAAATTGAAAAACTATTTACTATGAGGATTTCTTTTTAATCATATTTAGTCTATCAGTTTGGACCAAGGTTCTGTAACTGTCAGAGTTACCCTACATGGATGACTTTTATACAACATCATTCACATCCAACCTTTAGAAGCAAAGTAATTACTTATGGTTTTCTTGGCACACAGAAATGAACACTAGGGTAAGAAAAAAGTTAACATAGCATGAAACTATGTGTTGCCCACTGTGTGTTATGTACATACACACAATGGGAAATGAAAAAATCTAGTCAGATATATAATATTTGCTATTTCAAATGTCTTTGTCCACAACAAGTTAGATTGTGAAGACTTCAAAATTAACCAGTTAAAACTGCTTTTCCTCTTTTCTAACACATAATGAGTACATTAATACCACTGTTTTCTTTCTTCCAATAGAATTAGTTAAAATGTTAGTATTGTTTCTACCCATGATTAAGGAAGAAGAGATAGTTATCTCTAGTCACAGCTGGAGGTTAAAAAAAAACTCATAACATAAGCTACTGTCTCCCTTGAATTACTTTATTAACCAATTATGAGACACTTTCAAAATTCCTTGGACCTTAAAACTTTCTGCTTCTTAACTTTACAGAGCTTTATGTAGTTTTCTATCTTAACATAAAGACACAGAGCAATATTTGTGGGATGGAGAATTCAATGGAGAAGAGTGCGCAGAAGATGCTTAGGTAGCACACAGATGGGAAATGAAGGCTAAGGACAAGCTCAGGACGGATGACCGAGATAAGTGAGGCAAGCTAACAAAGGGGAGAGACTAGAACTCCATGTAATAAACTACAATTTAATATAATGGCAGAGGATACACTTCTGAAGAGATGACAGAGGGGAAATGATAACAATCCCAATTACACAGAGCTAATGACCTCCAACAGTGGCCTGATCAGGTTAAGAGGCTAGAATAAAAGGCTCCTAAGGCCAGGGCAAGAAAACACGCAGATCATTAAAAGGAGACCCCCTGGTAGAGATGATAGAGCTTAGTATTTTACATTCTAAAGCTCTACAGTTGCTCAAAAGGGTAGAATCTGACAAGACGAATTTAACTCAGTCAAAGAACTATGAGAAATAGTTTCACCTTAAATAAAAAAGTTTTATTCCCATTTTGAGAATATCTCCTAAGCTACCATTTAGAATCTCAGAATGTTAAATTATCAAGTACTGAGTTCTGCCACTAGAAACAAAAAAACAAACAGTCTGACTCTTTTACTCAGGGCTGCATAGTCTAGCTAGAGTAAAAACATTTACAATGTAATTTAATGAATAAAATCTTAATGGAGGGTCAGCAAGATGGCTCAGTGGGTAAAGGCTCTTGCCAACGAGCCTTAAGACCTGGATTAGATCTCCTAGATCCACATGGTAGGGAAAAAAAAAAACTGATTTCCACAAGCTGTCCTCTGACCTCCTCATGTGTGCCACTGTACATGAGTGGTAACATATAGATTAGATTAGATTAGATTAGATTAGATTATAGATAGATGATAGATAGATAGATAGCCAAATGGATAAATAGAAGGTAGATAGATAGATAGATAGATAGATAGATAGATAGATAGATAGATAGATAGATAGAATAGCCAAATGGATAAATAGAAGGTAGATATATAGATAGATAGATAGATAGATAGCTGTCCAATAGATAAACATTCTAGTGGCCACCACAGAAATGCCCCCAATTGTGACTATAAAAAGATAAGTATGTTTGCGATTTCCTCAGTTTTACAGTCAGACTCTTGATTTTATCACACCTGATAACAAACTTCTAATTTTCCTATAGGAAAAAGAAACTATGAGACCTGATCAGAAAAGTCTTCAGTTACAAAAAGATGAGGTTGTATCATCATCATTACCCATAAAAAAAGAAAATGATGGTAAGTATGAACAGTCTATCATCTAATATTTTTGAAAGGTGTCTTTTAAAAATACATACAAAAGAATTTTATTCTGTGTAGTAATCAAAGACTGTCTCAAGAGGTAGTAAAATATAAACTGGAGGGCCAGGCATGGTGGTGCACACCTTTAATCCCAGCACTCAGGAGGCAGAGGCAGGTGGATCTCTGTGAATTTGAGGCCAGCCTGGTCTACATAGTGAGCTCCAGGCCAGCTAGGACTACAGAGAGACCCTGTTTCAGAAAGAAAAAAAAAAAAAAGAAAAAGAAAAGAGAGGGGATATTAACACGATCAAAATATATGGTATAAAATCACAAAAAATGATTTAAAATGTTCTTGCTTGAAAGAAAATACACTTGAGGGCCAGGGAGATGGCTCAGCGCACATAAAGGTACTTGCTGACAAGACTGCCAATCTGAGTTCAATTCCCAGAACCCACATATTGGAAGGTGAGCACTGACTCTCACAAGTTGTCCTCTGACCTCCACAGATGTTGCTGTGGCAAGTATGAATGTTCATGCACATACACACAATAAATGAATAAATGTAATTTTTAAAATGTATTAATTTTATTTTATGTGTATGCATGTATTGCCTACATGTAGGTAAGTACACCTGTGTTGTGCAATGCCCATGGAGGACAGAAGAGGCTGTTGGATCTCCTGGAACTGGAGTGACGGATAGTTGTTAGCTGCCATGTGGGTGCTGGGAGTCAAACCTGGGTCTTCAGCCAGTGTTCTTAACTGCTGAGCCATCTCTCCGGCCCCATGAATACATGTAATTATTTTAAAACAAAAAAATACATTTGAAAATGAGCAAAAGATATGAAAACTATTCACAAAATGACTTTAAAGTGACCCAAACATATGAAAAGATGTCAGATTTCATGTTTAATTGAAAAGTACAAATAAATTTTACATTTAAATTCCATGCTTAATTTGACTGATTATAGCAACATATTCCATGGTCAAGACTGTACAGTAACATATACTCTCATATACTACAAACAAAATTGTGAATTAGTACATTTTTAGATAGGAATTTGGTAATATTTAACAAAATCAAAGTATATTTACTTTTTTGTTCCCTTTTTTTTCCAGTGTTGGAAATTCAAACCAAAGCCATGTGTGTGCCAGCAAAGTACTCTATTACTGAGCTACACCCCTAGTCCCATATTAATTTTTTGAAACAGCCATCAACTTCTAGGGATTTTATCCTGAATATCCATGTCCAAAATAAGAAAATACAGATGTAAAATCACTGAAGCACTGTTGGCAATTCCTAAGAACAATAATGACATATACAGATAAGGAAATACAATGCAGTTATAAAAATGCTCAAGGAAAGGCTGGGGATATAGTTCAGTTGGTAGAGTGCTTGCCTAGCATGCAGGAAGTCCTGAGTTCTATCCCCAGCACCCCACAAAACTGCTCATGGTAGTGCATGCTTACAGTTTAGAACATGAGAGGTAATGGCAGGAAGATTAGAAATTCAAGGTCATTCTCAGCTACACAGAGAGTTTGAAGCAAGACAGGGCTATAAGACACCACTTCAAAAACAACAACCTAAAACAAAACAAAACAAAAGAACAAACAAAAAGGAATGAAGTTGACTGTGTAAGAACATGGCGTGATTTCCAGAACAGAATGTGTGAAAAAGGGCAAAGCATAAGAGTATCTATAACATGCTGCTTTTATTGTAAGAAATATAGTGGTAAAAGAAAATTTACATGTAGTTGCTAATATGTGTGAAAAGGAACATAGAAAAAGTAATTAAAAAAAAAAAAAAACAGATATGCTGAGGATGTAGTTCCACGGTAGACCACTAGCCTAGTATGTGCAAGACTCTGGGTTAATTTCCTAGCACTGTAAAAAAAAAAAAAAAAAAAAAAACCCTTACAACAGTCTCTTCAAGGGAATGAGATCATGAAGAAAGGGAATGGGGAATCAGGACCGGGCTAAAGAACTGGGAATGAGTATACAATTTCTGAGTAGGTTTCACCTTTCAGAACAATTTCATATAAACAAGTACTTTACAAAATCATGTAAAGATAAGCTAATAAAAACAGAAATATAAACAATATAATAAGGTTTATTATATTTTGAATTAATAAAACACATAAATAGGAAAAAAATCTAATTCAACTAAATCTTAAACACACTATTTTGACTATAAATCTTCAAGCTAAAGAAATATCAAATTGGGGCTGGAGAGATGGCTCAGTGGTTAAGAACATTGGTTGTTCTTGCAGAAGACCTGGGTTCGAATTCCAGCACCCACATGGCAGCTAACAACTGTCTGTAACTCCAGTCCCAGGGGATCTGATGGCCTCTTCTGACCTCCGCAGGCATTGCATAACATGAGTGCACTTACCTACACGCAGGCAATACACACATACACATAAAATAAAAATAAATAAAATAAAAAGTTAAAAAAAAGAAATAAAAAATTGTAGACAGTCATGCTTTGCTTAAAGATAGGGATACTGGGCATGGTGGTACATGATGTTAATTCCAGCACTTGGGAGACAGAGGCAGGCAAATATCTGTGAGATCAAGGCCAACCTGCTCTACACTTAAAGGGGAAATCCTGTCTAAACAAACAAACAAACAAACAAAGATAAGGATAGTGCTGAGGAGATGGTTCAGTGGGGAAAGGGAACTTCTATCTAGTCTAATATCTGAGTTTAATCCCCAGGACCCACAGAGTAAGAGAGTAAAAGGAAAAAGCCTACTTCTGAAGTTGTATTCAGACTTGCACTTGTGTGGTACAGCCTGTGTCTCTGTGTGTGCAAATACATTTTTAAAAACAGATACATTAAGCTTTATAACATGCATCATTTGTGGTATTGTGTGGCATGCACCCCCCCAAATAAATAAATGATAGTAATAAAAAATAAAAGATCAATGGAAGAGATTAGGGTCCAAAAATAAGCTATAGATTATATGGTTAACTGGCTTTTGACAATGTGACAATACATTTCAGTAAAGAAAGAATAATCTTTTCCAAAAATCATGCTGGAATTACTAACAGAATAAAGAATCTTGTCTGTTCCTGATATTATTTATTTAAAAGCTAACTCAAAGTAGACGAGGTTCCTAAATGCTTTAGGCTTAAACTTCTAGAATAAACAAAGGATAAAATGTGAATGATTGCTAAGGTTTAGATCTTAAATATCCTCTCTAAAGTTCATGTATTAAATGTCTGGTCCCCAGCTGATGGTGATAATTTTGTTTTTCAAATGAAATTTATTTACTGTGTGTGAGCACTCATGCACCTGTGTCATGGCCCAAAGTCAATGAACCCAACTATTATCAACTGAAATGGAAAACCTCTGAACTGTGAGCCAAAAAGGTTCACCTTTGAATCTGACTATCCCAGTATCTGTGCCTTAGCAACAGAAAACTGACTAACAAAGTGGCTGCAAACTTTTTTTTTGTTTTTTTTAGAGAGGGGTCTCACTGTATAGTCCTAGCTGGCCTGGAACTTGCTATGTAGACCAGGCTGGCCTCTAACTGAGAGCAATCTGCCTGCTCTGCCTCCCGAGTTGCTGGTATTAAAGGCATGCGCCAACATACCTGACGCCAAACATTTCTTAAACACAACACCATGAGCTATAAAGGTAAATTATTCACTAAAATTTTTAAATGTTTATACTTCAAAAAAACACCGGCGAGAAAACAGACAAGTTACAACCAACACAAAAACACAAAATAAGCTTAACAAATGATTTATACTTAGAATATATGTCAATAATACAAAAACCCAATGACAAAAGGAAAAGCACATAGACACCTTTGTAGATGTTAAGTAATCACTAAGAAAATGAAAATTAAAACAATGAGATATCACAACATGTTATTTGAATGACTAAATTAAAACTAAGGTTTTTTTGTTTGGTCGGGTTTTTTTTAATCACTGTGACATATACTGGAGGAAAAAGATTTAATCTAGCTCATGGTTGCAGACCCAGGTCAGCTAGATCCAAGAATTCTCTGCTTTCAAACTGATGGAGAAAGCCCTGCACTTTTCAAACAGTAAAAGATACTCTACCGAGGGAGAGACAGAGAAGGAGGGAGGAAGGAGTGAAAGGGGAGGGGGAGGAACAACCAAAGAACTACTGCAGGGCTTAAAAAAACAGCCCAAGTGAAGGTATTCCAAGTAAAATCTGGAGTTAGGATCATAATAGTGCCAGTTATGACTCTCATCTTTCTTTTCTTTTTTTTTTTTTTTCATGTTTTTGAGACAGGGTCTCCCTGTAGCCCTGGTTGGCCTGAAACTCACTATGTAGATCAGGCTGGCCTTGAACTCTCAGAGATTCACCTGCTTCTGCCTCCCGAGTGCTGATATTAAAGGCTGGGTTTATTCCTTTCACTTCTGATACCCAAAGTCATTAATTACTGTCATCTAACTGAAATACATTTCTAACATAAACTTCAAAAATCAAGTTTGTATTTACCTTAATTTCTGACTTGTGGTTTTTTGTTTTTTCTATTTCAATTAGGAAATGTAGTTCTCTATCAGGTCAGCAATTAAGCAATCACTGCAAATCAGAGAATAAAGATGGAGCCAATGAGATGGTTCAGCAGGTAAAGGCACTTATTGCCAAGCCTGACAATCTGAGTTTGAACCCAGGGATCCACATGGTAGAAGGAGAGAACTATCTCCTGGAAGTTGTCCTCTGACCTTCACATGACTGTGGCATGCATGTGCCCCCACGCATACACATGTGCAATAAATAAATGAATAAGTAAATAAATAAAATTCTAATAAATTATAAAAAACAATGTAGGTTTCTGGCTATCATGAGTATCCTGTTATTACCAAAGATTCTGTAAAACAGCTTTTCAAATTAATAGCAGCATTCATAATAGCAATAATTTTTCCACTAGATGACAAATATTTTCTAATCATTACTTATGCTTACAATTTTGTTTCCTAATTTAGAAATGCCCACATGCCTGTTATGTGTTTGTTTAAGTGGCTCTGTCTACTGTGAAGAAGTTGACATTGATGCTGTGCCACCCCTGCCAAAGGAATCAGCTTATCTTTACGCACGATTCAACAAAATTAAAAAGTTGACCGCCAAAGATTTTGCAGACATGCGTAAGTTAAAATAAGATATAAAAGCACAAGTTTCCAGATACTTTATACCTACTATACATAGGGTTATCACTGTTGTGGTATTTAAACATACAATATACACTTCACAAAAATTTTCATACCCCATCTAACAATAAGTACCTTTTCAAGATCAATACACCAAGATCCATTTTGCCTCAGGGAGTAAGCAGTACTTAGTATATGAGGATGCTTTGCCACCTGTATTTTATTTTCTACTTTCACCGTAAAAGCACAAACTCCTAATCTGTACTTGTTTTCATTTTTCATTGCTTGTTTCAGTTTGTTTTTGTTTGTGCTTTTTTTTTTTTTTAATCTTTTTGGGACAGGGTCTCTGTGTAATCCCAGCTCTGCTGGCACTCACTATATAGCCCAGGCTGGCCTCCATCTCACAGAGATCTGGCTGCCTCTGCCTCCTGAGTGCTGGGACTAAAGGCATGTGCCACCACAACAGGCTGTTTGTTTGTTTGTTTTGGAGAGAGGGTCTTATGTAGTACAGGTTGGTCTTGAACTTACTAATATAGCCGAAGCTGATCTCCTAATCCCCCTCTGCCTCTACTTCCCATGTGCTGAGATCATAGGCACTTGGTTCTTTTTCATTAAATTATAACCCTTAAATCTGGCTACATATAAAAAATATGTAGAGAACAACTTTTAAAATACCAGTATGAAAACCACACATACTCCTTACATGTTGCTAAGGGAAACAGTTCTAAGAACAGTAGTGTTAACTCTTTCTCAGGTCATTAGCAATCAGCTTTTTGGCTTCTTAATAAGCTTTAACCCAACTAAAGTGTTGCTGTCAGCACATCACTATCTTCTGTTTCTGCTGTACGAAGTCCTAGTCCTGGATTATTCATTCCTTGTCAGTATTCTAGATGTCTAGGTCATCCTGAAGAAAACCACGGCCAAGAAATGTACACTGGTTTTACTACATGTTATTTGTTTGTTTATATATTTATTTATTTATTTATTTGCAGTAATTGAATCTAAGACCTGGTACATGCCAGGCAAGTGCTCTCTCCCACTGAACACATTTATGAGATTAAGAGTAACTGAATTCATGCTGTCACTAATAGATCTGAATTATGGATTAAAGGACAATTTGTGGATCCCCATTTTGGCAAATTCATCTACTTGGTGGGCATGTAGCCCAGTGGTCAAACACTTGCCTAGCACATACAAAGTCATGAGTTCAATCCCTAGCGCTACAAAACAAACAAACAAAAAAAAAACCCCAAAACAACGAATGTGGTACTTTTACGATCACTAGCAGAAATTCATAGAGCAGAAAAAAAACGACTGAGTTACTCCAAACCCACATTTCTATCTTAGACACAAGGCAAGGCTTCTCTGTACTTTCAGGTGTCATAAAATATAGTAGAGCTCTGTTCAGTACATCTAATATGTTTTCACATTTTCTGCTTTATATTAAAAATGTTACTGTTAAAATTTGCCGCAAGTATAGTGCTGAAGTGCTATCTAGTGTCTGCACTAGGTTCTAAGTGCAGGACAGCTGTGATGATAGCTATGAAGAAAATGCATGTATTAGATAAATTTCACTCAGGCATGACTTATATTAATGTCCATGAATCCACAACGTACATTAAGTTGTCTTTAAACAAAAATATACATAAAGTATGGTTTGTATTGATTGGCAAAAATGAGTAAGCAGAGGCTCATGGGCACCTCTGGAACTCTCCTAGAAGCAATGGTTCTGTATTCACTAATTCAGTGCTGCACCAACTTTTAAGAAAATGGCTACTGAGAATGAAAAGAAACTATTTCCTATCATCTCAGCCAAAGACAATACAAACCTGCACACACAGAATTTCTCAATCTCTCAGTCTGTGCCATGTTAACACATTGGGAAACATTTTTGTCTTTGTTGTGGTTAAGCAAAAGGCATAGAGAAATTAATACAGCATACCCACATTTACAATGCAACATGCTGGCAAATTTTTTAATTACATAATTAAATCCAATCAAATGTAATTACTCCCTATGATAGGCAGTAAGAATTTCCTTCATGTCTATGCATAAGGAATTCAGAGAAGGATAAAAAGACTATGTATTTTTAGATACCTTCTAAAACCAGTGATTTTAGGACTGCAATCAGAAAAGGCATCATTGTTAGGCACAGAGATACTCAATGTTCAACAAAACTTTACCTATGAGGTTGAATATGTAGTTCAGTGGTAGAATGCTCACCTAATATGCATGAAACCCTGGGTTCAGTCTCTAGCCCTCATAAAACACACCTGGAATACCATTACCAGGTCATAGACTTGATCCTCAACACTGCAAAATGATATAATTTACTGTGTTACTAATTACACATACTATAATGGACCCTGAACAGAAAAAAAAAAGGTGAGTGACCTATTAAATGCTTTTCTCCTGCCTACATAATGAGATTCTAATTTCATATTTTTTAATATTATTCCCTCAAGCTAACTTAAGAAGACTTGATTTTACGGGAAATTTGATAGAAGATATAGAAGAAAGTACTTTTTCAAAACTTTCTCTGCTAGAAGAACTTACACTTGCTGAAAATCAACTACTGAGGCTGCCACTTCTTCCTCCGAAGCTTACTTTATTTAATGCAAAACACAACAAAATTAAGAGTAAAGGAATTAAAGCAAACACATTTAAAGTAAGTATTCCATAATATAACTAAATAACAGCATTGATAATATTTTTACATTTTTATTATTTGTTGATTTAGTGCATGTGTGTGTGCATATGCATGTACATGCCACAGCATGCATGCACAAGTCATAAGACCACTTGCAGGAATTAGTTCTCCTTCTACCATGTCAGTCCTGGGGATCGAACTCAGGTTGACAGGTTTGGTGGCAGGTGCCTTAACCCACTGAACCATCTTGCTGGCCCCATGATAATATTTTGAAATTTGTACCTTTTTGCCCCCCATTCTACTTCTGAACTACTTTTGGGATATATTTCTGTACAGCAAGATAAGAAGCAAAAGAGAAATGTAATTGACATTTACCTAGACCAATATTTTCAGAACTTGGAACAAAATGACTTACATTTGACAACAGGAGCAATAGGTTAAAAATATGTACATAGGACTGGTAGCATAACTCAGTGGTGGAAAGCATGCTTAGCATGCTCAATGCCCTGAGTTCAATCCCCAACATCAATACCAAACAAATAAAACATATTTCATACAAAGACTAAGGAGTGCTTTTTTACTCATGTGAAGGATATTTTAATATTAAGAAGTAACTATTATTAGCTTATTGTTTTAAAAGACTTGCATTCTTCTTATCAACTGAGAATAGCTGTCTTTTATCTAGTTATTTGTCTTTTTTTCTTTTTTTCTTTCTTTTTTTTTTTGAGGCAGGATCTCACTACGTAGCCCTGGCTGGCTGAAAACTTGCTATGTAGACCAGGTTGGCCTTGAATTTACAGAGATCCCCCTACCTCTGTCTCCTGAATGCTGGGATTAAAGGTGTATATCACCATGTCCAGTCAGATGCTATCTCATATATTTAACTTTTGAAATAAGTATGTAGTAGTAGTGTTCCACAAAGAAGTATTAAAGTAAATAATTCCAACAGGGCCAGGTGTGGTGGCGCATGCCTTTAATCCCAGCACTTGGGAGGCAGAGGCAGGCGGATCTCTGTGAGTTCAAGGCAAGCCTGGTCTACATAGTGAGTTCCAGGACAGCTGGGGCTACAGGGAGACCCTGTCTCAAAAAGGACCAAAAAAAAAGAAAAAAAAAATCCAACAGAATGAAGTATTTTATAAAATTAGAAAAGTAATCACCTCACCCAGAATTTCCACAGTACTATATAAACACTCTCTGTTCTAGAAAGGTAATCCCAAACAAAAGCACACAAATACATAAATTAATTAATTAATTAATTAAATAAATAAACTTAAAAAACAGAAAATATTTTAACTATAGCAAAAAAAGGAATTAGCAAGTAGGGTATGGTGGCACACATCTGCAATCCTAGCTAAATTCAGGAGGCTGAAGGAGAAGGACAGTAGGTTTTAAGGTAGTTTGGGCTACATGAGATCCTGATTTTAAAAAATTAATGAAATCTGACTTAGTAGCACAGGATACATATCAAAGTTGAGGTAAGAGCAATGTTAAGGGAAACAACATCCTAAAATCACAACATATAATCATATGCAGTAAGTTACTGATCATACAGAATATTCCAACATAACTCCCACATCTTGCTAAGCACACATCTCTTAGAAATATCCACTTTAGCCGGGCATGATGGTACACGCCTTTAATCCCAGCACTTGGGAGGCAGAGGCAGGCGGATCTTTGTGAGTTGGAGGCCTGCCTGGTCTACATAGTGAATTCCAGGACAGCTGGGCTACAAGGAGACCCCGTCTCAAAAAAAAAGAAAAGAAAAAAGAAATAACCACTTTGCTAGAAATTGGTAGAACTTATGATAAGTAGCTCAGGAGGCTCAAGAGAGCTTAAAGAAGCATCAGGATTCAAAAATCAAGCTCATATGCAGATCCTCCCAAGACAAATTTAAAGGGCTCAAAAGATAGGTGTTCAGAGCCAAGTATTCAGATATGAAATGAATGGGCAGAAATACGGAGTATGCAGCAGAGTTCTGTTAGTCACTGTCTTAAGGACCAGAAGACAATATTTATGAAGCCAATAAACAATAATAAAAAATTTCCATACCAATGATTAATACTATTGAAACATGCTTACTACATCAATATTTTTAATGTATACATTGTTTGAATCCTGTGAAGAAATGCATAAACCTCAGTAACACTCAAATCAAATTTTCCTTACAGAAACTGAATAAGCTCTCTTTCCTCTATTTGGACCACAATGACCTGGAATCTGTGCCTCCTAATTTACCAGAAAGTCTACGTGTAATTCATCTTCAGGTATAACTGTTCTTTTTATGAAGTCTGGTATTAGTTAACTATGAGCCATTCTTATTATTCATTGGGAAACTCATCCATTCACATGTAAAGGATGATTATATCACTCAGATCATGTGATCGCTTAATGCCTATAAAAGTATTATTATTTAGCCACATAAACCTCCTGACCAGAATCTCCGGTCCAATCCAGAGTATGCTGAGTAGACCACCCTCGGAAGTGTAAATTTTGCTACTTGAGCGAAATTAATCTCCAGGCAACACCTAGTCTTTTTTTGGTTTTGTTTTTAGCAGTGCTGGGACTGAATATAATGTCTCATACACAATATGCATGTATTCTATCTCTGAGCTATAGTACTAGCATTTAAAAAATTAAAATAAAAATTTATTTTTATTTAGGGCATTCTTTAATTCCTTATTCCTCAAGTTAAAATTGACCAGGCTATGGAAGGGAATGAAGACTGTACAGTTGGTGGGCATCAGGCAGTCACCTTATGTATAATTGGAACAGACGTTCTCTGAATCTGATTAGATGGGAGGTGAAATCATGGAGTTTGATCACCACAAAGGCTAGGATACATATGTGGAGATTTTCAATTTTGTTGTTGCTTTTTGTTGTTTTGCCAGCCCCGGCAGAGGGGATCCTCAAGAAGGTGACCACAATGAAGACAGTGGCATAGAAAATGGGGACAACAAATACTCAATCAGGACTGAAACATAACATGGGGACCACAACCAGAGTGACAAGGATTCTGCTTTCTGTTCTAATCGGCCAAACTCAAAAGGGGAAACACATGAGAGACAAAAAGTGTCTCCCACCAGACTCACAGAAGTTGAAGTAGAAAACTGTTAATGTCACATCATCCCCATGACTGAGGCACAAGTCTCTTGGGTCCAGTTCCCAAGAAAGGCACACACACCAAGGATCATGAGCATGTTTCAATGCAAAGGGTAGACTGACAGTCCCACAGTGATCATAGATGTCATGAGCAAACAAAAGTGGGTTTAACCAAATGTGAAGATGAAAAACATCTGTTTAACACAGGCCACAAGGGTAATGGAGTGATATAAATGCAGTCAGTCAGCCAGCAAGATGTGATGACATCAGTCACAGAATCCCAAAGAGACGGTACACAGGGAGAGGCACTTGGGCTTATGCAATCTAGAAAGTAGCCAAGATAAGCATATTCCGCAGCAGTGTGATCAGGTACATTAGCAGGTGCAGCAGGAAGAAAGCCTGCATGAGGTCATGTGGAAAGTCCAAGAAGCCAAACAGGATATTGTCAAAAAGTTATAGATCTGACCAGGCATGGATGCTATATTGTCTTTGCTATTCCTTGACACGAAGCAGAAAGTTATGAGGTACAGAAGTCAGCTGAAGGTTCAGACATGGATGCCCTTTTTAAAAATTTTTATTTATTATTTTTATTTATGTGTATGTGTGTACTGCCTGCATGCAGGTAAATGTACCTGTGTCGTGCAACACCTGCAGAGGTCAGAAGAGGCTGTTGGAGCCCCTGGGACTGGCGTTATGAACAGTTGTTAGCTCCCATGTGGGTGCTGGGATTCGAACCCAGGTCTTCTGCAAGAACAACCAGTGTTCTTAACCTCTGAGCCCTCTCTCCAGCCCAAGATGCCCTTTTTTGATACCCCTTATGACAAAAAAAAAAAAAGTGTAGTATTTTAACACTAACCAGGTGTTCTAAAATTCAATTCTGATACAGCGGAGTCTGCAGAAATCCAATTACTTCCATGATTCAGTCTGGCCACACTGCTCCCACTGTAGATGCAGTCCAAAGCATGTGTTTGTTCTGTCTATTCCCCACACTGCAGTTTTCTAGGTGGTACTCTGAGTTGTCCCATTACCATAACTTCATAATTCTCAAAGGGGCAAATGATAAACAGCTAATGACACTCTTATTGTCCAGGAAATTCCAAGGAGTTCGTTTCTCCTCCAAAATCTTTGCTGGCTTCCAGGTTCCAGGGCTCCTCTCGGGCCTTCTGTGGTGGTGGGCTAGAAGGTGGCATCCCACCATAATGAAGACTGAACAACCTGGGTGATCTGTCAACAGCTGATTTATATTTATTTCCCCAAATAGTGACCATATCTCTCATTTGTGTTTCTTTTCTCCAAATAGTGGTAACATTAGCTTTTGGAGATGTTGTAGCTGGTTTTATAAAACAGCATTAAAGTGTAAAATACAAAAGTGAAGAATGAAAATAAGCTAAAACTAATTTCAGTACCACAAGAATTTCAACTTGTTCTTGTTTCATTTATTTAGGGAATATTTAAGTAAACAGTATCATTTTGTATATTCCTACTCATATTCAGAACAGAGTGAATAATAGTGAGTAGACTGTTCTAAAATATTTAAAACTTAAAAAATATGCTCAGGTTGCACAAAAAAGGTATCATTACCATGAAGCAATATTTTTTTTTTAATATTCTTTAAAAAAAAGCACTTGATCCTATTATACAGCATACAAAAGGTTGATTTTAGATTTCTGAATACTTTTTTCCTTTTGTCTTTCAGTTTAACAGCATATCTTCAATTACAGATGATACATTCTGCAAGGCTAATGACACTCGTTACATTCGGGAGCGTATTGAAGAGATTCGCCTGGAGGGCAATCCAATTGTTCTGGGAAAGCATCCAAACAGTTTTATTTGCTTAAAAAGATTGCCTATAGGGTCATACTTTTAACCACTATCAATGCAGCTTATGGCCTAAGTATACACAGCTAACAGTGTCTAAAAGAATTTAAGTACTAGCTTAATAGTAATACTTCATCTCCTCACTATGATGGAATTTTATGTTTTAAGCAAACAAGTTCAAAATTCTTGTATCTAATTAGCAAAAATCAGACCAAATCTCTTAAGTTCAAAACAAAGTAATGTGAAACTAAACAGAATTAAAAATTCCTTCTGGTTTACACTAGATTACCATCTAAATGGCATGCTTTCACAAAAATACTTGCATTTGAGAAGTATTATTCCCATTACTAATGAAGTAAGAGAGGCCCAAGAAACTTTCAGTTGTTTATCTTTCCTGGCATTTACTGTATCTCAAAAGCATTTAAGGCAGATGTTCTAAAACCTCTGAAAAGCCAAGTATTTCCAGTGACCTTCCATTCTGACTATGATTCATCAGTATTCACTATGAAGAAGGAACTTTGTTTTCTTCCTATCAAGGCAGCTATTTTACTATATTTCTCACTTACCCTAAGAAAAAAGGTCTCACAAATAGGCAAAATTTTCAAATAAAGGAAAATTTTACTCTCTGGTAAAGAACAAATTTAGAAATGGTCCAAGTTTTTTGCTTTGCATTTTGAAAAGCCCAAACAAACCAAAATCAATAAAGTTTTTAAAAATCAAAATTCTACCCATTTCTCAAAGAATAAGGTTTCTCTACTTCAAATATTTTCAAGTAGGAAATAATTATAAACCTTTTCACACTGTAAGAATGAGTCTCACCAATAAATATAATTCAAATGTAAGAAATAAAAACAAAATATATTCTATAGTGCTTGCTGCTGCACACCAGCTTCTCCTGCACACACATTCACCCAAACAAACTGAATATGCACAACCAAGCCTGTGAGCACCACCTCCTCAACAGCCATGATTTCTGGATATATATATATAAAATGGTGAAAACCTCATCTTCAGTCTAATAGCAATAACTCAATAATGCCAAATTAAAGTTCCTAAATTATCTTCTGTTGCCTATACCCTACTCACAAGCATTAGTACTATATATTACTTTGGAATTAAATATAAAATTATCAGTGTTTTAGAAGCCTCAATCATTCATATATGTGTATGTGTGTACCAACGTCATTTCCATTATAAGCAATATATTAATCTCGTATACTATTCCTAGAACACTCATTTTAAACATTTGGTTTTTTTGCTCCAATCCAGACTGACACCCCCGACCTCATCTCATTTGTCAAGAGTGAGCCCAGATGAAACTTTTTCATTAAAGCATCTGTGATCTATAAGGCCAGAACTATTACTAATAATGTTTATAGGCTCAATCATTTATTTTGATAAGTTAATGATTGTAACTACCACTTTCTCACCATTTTGTGTACACGCTTTATTTTCCCCATGACTTAAAGCTCACTGAGAGCACCAAACACAGCTTTATCTTACATTTTTATGGTACTAACATAATAGCATATTTGAATTAAATCTATAATAAATATTGTAAAATTCATCCAAATGGAATGATTCTGTGTTATCTGGAGAAACAGACTATCATAACCTTGAATAAATCAATAGAAAGAAATTAGCTTTTTCTGAAATAAATATTTCACAGAGGATGGTTCAATGGCAAGAGAAACTATGGAGTATTCAGATATGTCTATTAAGTTTCTGGTTTTCACAAGAAAAATGTACTCATATGCATATATACACACATACATATGTATGTATATATGGTTTGTTTGGGATTTGGGGCATGTGTGTGGTTCTGGGGATTGAACATAGGGCTTCATGTGTGCTCAACAAGAGCTCTACCACTAAACTTACCCCCAAGGCCTCTACATTCTTTTTTTTTTTTTTTTTTTTTTTTTTTTTTGCCTCCTGAGTGCTGGGATTAAAGGTGTGCGCCACCACGCCCGGCTCAATACATTCTCTTTGTAATAAAATTCAATGAGAAAAACACTAGAATAACCATCAAATTAAAAAAATTAAAAGCCAACAGTTTTGAGAAAAAATGATTAGGGCTAGGCATGATGGTGCACTCCTTTAATACCAGTATTCAGGGGGTATAAGCAGATGGATCTCTGCAAGTTCAAGGCAAGCCTGGTATATATAGAAAGTTTCAGGATAGTCAGGGTTACATCACAAGACCCTCTCTGTGAAAAACCAAAACAACAACAAAATAATAATAATAATGATCATGATGATAATGATTGGGAAGAAAGACTACTGATAAACTTTAATATTTTTGAATTTACTTAAAGAAATATCTTGGGATTTCTAGGAAAGACATGAACATGGGTAGCTTACACTGTCATTACACACTCTTCTGTTGCAAAATAAAGCAATACAAATTATACAATCAAGATCCAGAACATATTGAGTAAAATAATAAAGGTAAAATTACATTTAAATCCACTATATTATATAGAGGTTTCATTCTTGAAAATGATAATAAAAGAGTACTAAAGTTAAAAATGATTTATACCTTACAAATATTGCAAAAAGAAACAAAAGAAGACATACAAAAGAATGGACATCCTGTGTTCATGACTGAAAGATTTATGTTGTTAAGAAAACAAAACAATCTCAAGATTCAATGCAATCTGTACAAAGATCCCAATGATGGATTTTGCAGAAACATAAAAATCCGCTCTAAAATTTATTTGGAATATAAAAGACCCTACATGAACAAAAACTGAAAAGCCTGAAAAGAACCAAGAGAGAAGAC